CTCGGGGTTGATTGGACACGTTTCTAGGCCAGGGTGGTCAATTATCAGAGGCTCCATCCGCTATAGAGCTTAAAGCCTCATTACCCGCCATGAGTTTGAGAGTTAAAATTACAAAGGTCGTGTTCAGATCCGAGAAACAGTTTGGTGGTGAACAAGTTAGGCGCCACCTTACACCACCTCGTATCGCCAACATCCGTGCTTTCAAGTTTCTTTCTGGCTAGTTCAAATCCTTCAATATACTTCCATCTCGCTCCCAGTGCCCGTAGTAATCGATAGAATTCATCGTTCAACACTAGGGAATCCAGAATCTTCTCTTGTTTCTCACCTTGTTAAGGTTCATCGATTACATATGTTTGTTTCATATATTTGGACAGTTATAGAGGGAGATTGTGTATCATTTGTGGCTATCAATAGTACTGGTAACATGTGACAACATTTTGACAAGCCCAAGAATGTCCCCTACATTTAGAACACTTTAGCAGATTTCGATTTACCTGACGTGCAGTCATAACTTCATAAGTAGCAATGGCTCCTATTCTCTTTGCCTATTCCACCGCGCAAAACATTGGGGGTACATTCAAGCTATTCCTCAGTCTTGACATGTCGTATGCATTGCCACTCTAAATTATAAGGAACCTCCTCTTTTAGAGGCGACTGCTAACCACACGTTCTCTGCCTAGATCACTACCCTGCGCTACCAAATCAGACATAAACAACCTTCAAGGAATCGTCTCTCGATTCTCCAGTCACCCTAATCAACTCTTATACAAGGGCAAGCCACTGGTGTCCACCTTCGCTGGCGAGGCATGCACTTATGGTGGAGGACTGGCCGCTTTTTGGGCGGAGTTTAAAAGCAGTTTAAACGGAAATGTCAGTCAGATTTATTGAGCATTCCTTTGGTTTGTTACGCCAAGAGAACTGCATTATTATGCTAATCCTATTTCCTATCTAGGTTCACTTTGTACCCTCGTTATTTGTAGACCCTGGGCAGCTGGGGACCTTGTCTTTTCTGGATGGCGCATTTAATGCGAGTACCTATACTTGTTCTTAGTACTCATTCTCACTACAACAACACATAGTGGAATGGTGGGTGGCCGACTCGGTTGAATGCGGCCTCCTCTCTACTCCAAATCGAGCAGGCGATAAGCTCGTTGACTACAGACCATTCATATTTCCCTGGTCTTGTCGACAGGACATATATTGCTCCCGTATCTCCTTGGTTCTTTACGGTATGAGGGTAGATTTGTGATAGTACAGATCCAACTAACCTTCTACTCGTTGGACACCTTTATTTCGGCATTTCATTCGACACTTAACAGCACTATGGACCAGATACATGGAACAAGAATTGGATTTATCGTGCAGATGACTGGCTTTATGCACGACGGTGGGAGGATCTGGTCCAAATGAGGGACCAAGTCGACATCGTGGAGATCATTACGTGGAATGGTGAGACGATATCATACATATCCGCGCCGAGTGCCCATCTTTTTGAGAAATAGACTATGGAGAATCGCATTATATTGGGCCAATTACCGGTGCTCAGCCAAATTCTCAAGCATGGGTCGACGGGTTCGATCACCAAGGTTGGCTGGAATTGAGCACCTACTATATCGAGGCTTTCAAGACCGGTATTTATCCGTCTATCACTCAAGATAAAGTTTTCCTATGGGCACGTCCTCATCCTCGTGATGCGACAGCTCCGGATCACGTTCCTCGTCCGAATAATGCTCAACTGGTGAGCTCAATTCGACCTCTTCGAAACCTTTTCTGGTTCTCATACTTCTAAAAGACAGACGATTTCTTCTGGGCGATAGTTTTCGCCAAAGAGCCCTGCACTGCAATCCTCTACACACCTAGTCCTACCACCGACCCCGGAGCACAACCTCCCGAGATCAATTACAAAGAGGCAATGGTCACAGATGTCCCTTCTGGGGTCAACAAGCTGCGTTTTCCTCTTCAGCCCACCAAGACGATGGCTATTCGGTTGGAACGGGAGGGAAATACGGTTCTGGATTATGTCGCCGAAGGCTACTTCTTCAATCCCAGTCCACAGGTTTACAACTTTAATGCATGGGTCGGGTGGAAGTCGGGCCAATAAACAAGCATAGAGCGTTTAGAGTTTCAAGTTGCTTAAGATTTTATCCGTTTGTCGTTAAAATATGGTGTTTGAGGTAGAGCCTGGCCCGACCCATGCCGCGTTTGTCGCGAGTTTGAGACAAAGCGAAGAGGCTAACATCCCAAACTCTCCTTGGCCCCCTTTTCAATCTACCTTCAGAATGAGTGGTGAGGATTAGTCCCAACAGTGTTCATGTAAAAGCTCACGAACCTCCTGCCTTCACTGAATGGGTGATCCACTAGACTGCGATGATGATAAAAAGGATTACTACACTGGTGAACCTCGGACACACCACAAATTCTATTTTCCTGATGGAAATATAGTCTTTCAGGTTCATATTCTGCATCTTTGATCCATTAATCTAATGAACGAGGACTTTGCAGGTTGAAAAGGCAATATTCAAGGTTTATCGGTATACACTATCCAAGCATTCTACAGTCATCCGGGATCTATTTAGTCTTCCCGAGACTACATCTGATAAGGATGGGACTGACGAGAAGCCGTTGGTGTTCGTTGATGATAGCGTGAAAGGCTGGGAAACCTTTCTAAGTATGATTTATCCAGAGTAAGGGGATTGATGCTTTTGAATACCCTTCTCAGAGTTACGTAGGGATCCTATTCAGTTGATTGATGTCTTCTCTGGCGACAACTTGGACCATGTCTTTCCCCTCGTGGTCAAATATTCGATGGAAGAAATTGAGCAAAGCATCCTGAAGCGCCTGGACACTTGCAGCTCCGTGGAGGACGCTACAAACCTCATAGTAATATCTCAGATGCTCAATTCGGACCAGCTCTACCAGAAGGCGAAAGCCGTCCTTGTAGGTCACAATGATTCACTTAGGTTGGAACAGGCAAATAGAATAGGAGCCATTGCTACTTATGGAGTTATGGCTGCACGTCAGGTAGATCGCAATCTGCTAAAGTGTTCTAGATGTAGGGGATATTCTCGGGCTTGTCAAAATTCTGTCACATGTCACCAGTACTATTGATAGCCACAAACGATACACAATCTCCCTCTATAACTGTCCAAATACATGAAACAAATATATGTAATCGATGAACCTTAACAAGGTGAGAAATCAAGAGAAGATTCTGGATTCCCTAGTGTTGAATGATGAATTCTATCGATTACTACGGACACTGGGAGCGAGATGGAAGTATAGTGAAGGATTTGGGCTAACCAGAAAGAAATTTGAAAGCACTGGTGTTGGCGATACGAGACGGTGTAAGGTGGCGCCTAACTTGTTTACCACCAAACTGTTTCTCGGATCTGAACACGACCTTTGTAACTTTAACTCTCAAACTCATGGCGGGTAATGAGGCTTTGAGCTCTATAGCGGATGGAGCTTCTGAGAATTGACCACCCTGGCCTAGAAACGTATCCAATCAACCCCGAC